GCCTGCGCCGTGCCGCCGACACGCGTGGCTGGCCGCTGTCACGCGTGGCTGGCCGCTGACGAGCGTGGCTGGCCGCTGACGCCGCTGACACGCGTGGCTGGCCGCTGACGTGCGTGGCTGGCCACTGACTTGTGTGGCTGGCCGCTGACACGCGTGGCTGGCCGCTGACACGCGTGGCTGGCCGCTGACGCCGCCTGCCGCGTGGCTGGCCGCTGACGTGCGTGGCTGGCCGCTGACGCGCGTGGCTGGCCGCTGGCGCGCGTGGCTGGCTGCTGACGCCGCCTGCCGCGTGGGCCGCAGCATCCTGGGCGTGACTGCGGACTGCTCGGACGCCGACATCAAGAAGTACTACCGGCGGCAGGCTCTGCTGGTGCACCCGGACAAGAGCCGCACGCCCGGCGCCGAGGAGGCCTTCAAGATCCTGCGTCGCGCCTTCGAACTGGTCGGCTTCCCTGTACGTGCGCGTGTCGTGTCGAAATGTGTGGAGTGTCGAACGAGTCGTCGAAAACCGTTTCGACACGATTGCTGATAGTCGAAGCGATGTCATCTCACGGAACTGTGCAAATCAGACGGTGATGCTTTATGAGCTAATTCGAGCAGCGCCATACAAGTAGGTTTTTTTAAATCGGGTGACGACCAGGCCCCCACCGAGCTTTCAGTGTGAGCCGCAGTTTCACGTGGTGTTTGGTGTGTCGCGTTGTGGCGACAGCTGACCACGACCTGTCGCACCCCTCTGCAGGAGCAGCGCGCGGCGTTTAACGCGCAGGCGCAGGAGCAGCGCGAGGTGGACCTGGCGTTCCGGCAGTACACCGAGGAGCTGATGACTCGTCTCCGAGAGAAGATCGAGGAGACGCAGAACACGCTCAGGTGAGTGCAGCGTGCTGCCCCGGCGGCAGGAGGCGGAGGGCAGCGTACTGCACAGGATGGATCACTAGGGTCAGGTCAGCGCGCTGCCGCCGGGGCGGAGGACGCGGGCACGACGGTGCACAGCATCGGATGCTGCATTTAGGTCAGTGAAGATGCTGCATTTAGGTCAGTGAAGGTCATATCAGTATTCTTCCTCCTTCGTTCGTTCGTTCGTTCGTTCGGCTTCGTTCAGGCTGAGTTACGCGGTCATAATCACCGTGGTGGTACATGATACGTGGTCACCACCAATCGAAAGCAGAACACTCATAACAAGCTCGCGGGCCGGGGAGGGGCTGGCATGGGTCGCGATATCGCAGGACTAATCTTATTCTTTTAAGGAGAAAGTCCAAAAGGTGTGCTCATTTTAAGAATGAGCACTTCAGAGATCATGCAAGTTCTAGTAAGATTGGATTCGGGTTTTTGATGGTCCTTTAGAGCAGGGCAGTAATCTGTACAAATGCGATAATGTGTCGTGTCATTAGTTGTCGATGTCAGATCTGGCCTGTTCTGTCAGTTCGGAGCACCCGAAGCTCAGGTCAGACGCTGGTCAAGCCTGAGCCTCCGCCATGCCCCATATCCATCTTAATAAACTTGGCCGACGGAGGGCGTCCAGGTTGGTTGGGAGCAGCGCACACTGATCTGGATAAGCTAGATGGAGGTTGGCCAGCTTTACGCAGCGTTGGCTGTGCTGGGACGGCGCCTTCTCCCTCATGCACTACCCAATAATCATCCGATATCGTGTAGCCCAGATTTGTTGCTCGCACCCTTGCTTTATGAACTGTCGAAATCCTCCGACTTTCCCGTCTGGTACGCGTCATTTTCATAATGGGATCTCCATGTTTGTTTTGCCCATGGGATAGCCAGCAATGAGAATATCCTTTTTCAAAGATTGTGATTGTTCTCACCGCACTGTCCGTATTGTGTGGGCTTTTTGGCGCTGCGTTCCATGCCAGTCTGACAGTCTGTGCCGTCTCCCAGCTTTGGACTAATAGCAAAACCCCGATTTTTTTAGATGCAACAACTGTAACCAGCGTCACCGCCGGAGCAAGACACAGCGCCCGTGTTACGCGGCGCGCGCCTGCGCCACGTGCAAGATCCAGCACGCCGCTAGAGAGGTTGGTGACCCCTGGTCAGACGGGCGCTGCGTTCGCATGCGCCCTTCTTCGGCCGGACAGCCAGGGCGGGGGTCAGAAATGTGTTCTTACGGATGGCTGGGGTGTTGGCCCAAATTGTATTCTGTATGTTGTTGATTTTGCTGTGCTCATGTAGCTGCTTATCTTGTTTATCCAGCAGCTGTATGCTTTAATGGTTGCTCTGTAAACTTTTCCCGCGAGTACGGATGCTCCTGGCTGTGATCTGTTAGCGCTGTCCTGCACCTGATACTCTTGGTTAGGCTAACACCGGATTGCGACGGGGTTCAAGATAACTTCGCGTGATACCAGTGTCGTAAGAAAGCGGGACATTGCGTCATTCCCAGACAGTCACGATGGCGGTTTTGTCCCCCTGACGGTAGGCCGGTTTCGTGATGTGTTTTCCGCGATGCCATGGCTTTGCGCACTCATCTCATGGGAAGCGCCGAAACGTCGGACGTGACATCCGATTTGTGGTGGCCGTGCGGCCGAGGATGGGCCCCCGGGAGCCGCCCGATCCCCTGTGCACAGTCGTGACGTCCGCCCCGCTGGGCAGGGGACATCTGGGCCAGAGCGGGAGCCGCCCGATCCTCTGCGCACAGTCGTGACGTCCGCCCCGCTGGGCAGGGGACATCTGGGCCAGAGCGGGAGCCGCCCGGTCGTCTGTACACTGTCGTGACGTCCGCCCCGCTGGGCAGAGGGTCATCTGGGCCAGAGCGGGAGCCGCCCGGTCGTCTGTACACTGTCGTGACGCCCGCCCCACTGGGCAGGGGGACATCTGGGCCAGAGTGGGAGCCGCCCGGTCGTCTGTACACAGTCGTGACACCCGCCCCGCTGGGCAGGGGGACATCTGGGCCGAGAGCAGTTGGCTGGGCCTGTCCTGGCGCTACTACGCCTGCATGGACGGCGCCGTATTCGACATCAGCGAGTGGGCTGGCTGCCAGGCGCAAAGCCTCAAGCACCTGCAGGCCAACCACCACACGGTTCAGTACCGCATCATCTCGGGTGCCAAGCGGCACCGCCAGCCCGTCGACGAGCCCTCGTAAGTGGCGCCGGCGGCGGCCGCTCCCGGACGACGGGTGGCCGCGCTCGCCCACCTGCCCTGTGTATGGTGGGCGGGCCGGGGTGCGTGGTTTCCAAGGTCACGTGTCATGGCACAAGCCCGTAGTTCGTTAATGGGCTGCGAACCGAATGAACCAAGCGAAGTGGAATGAGAGGAACGTAACTGAATGCAGTATGCAGTGGTTGATGATGGTGCTTAAGGTGGATGGTGCCGAGGTGGTTGGTGATGATGCTCAATCGCATTGAGTAGCTTGCTGTATGCTTCTTGGACTTAGCTGTTCTGCGGTTCATCCTAGGAAATCGTTTGCTGTAGGCAGCGCTGTAGGCAAAGTTTAAGTGGCCGGTCCGTGTTGTTCCCTGTCACGTATGTTACGTACGCCCAGACATAACATCACTTTATCGACCATGGATAGCTGTTGGGTGTGCCAACGTCGCCGTCGTGTTAGGCCTCCTCCCGAGCGCCGATCCCGCTGACGCCGCCGCCGACCTCCGCAGGGACCGCGACCTGGAGGACATTCTCAGCAACCTGTACAGCGGCTCGATGGGCGGGGACTCGCAGGCGGGCCAGCGACGCCGCACCGGCCGGCGGCGCGGCCACTGAGCGCCGCGCCGCACCGCCGCCGGGCCGACATCGTGTGATGTGCAATGACGTGCGGTGTCGTGCAGTGCAGTGTCGCGCGCGGCGCTGGGCTCCTGCGGGGACAGGGGGTTTGTTGCGGACGCGAGGGTCTGACGCTGAGGGTTGTGCTGTGCGGGTGGGCGCGGCGGCACGGCTGCTGTGAGGGGGCTGTTGGGACGGGAGGGAAGGAAGGAGCCTCGCCACGTTTGGAGTAGCGAGGTCACGAGGGAGGTGGGGCATGGTGTCCGGGGTCGGCGCCGGGTACGGGAGCCGCGCCGGTGACTCTGTCTGTCTGATATGCCGGGTGTGTGAGATCGTGCCGCGCAGTGTCCCGAGCGCCGTGATGGGGAGGTCGGTACATCGCGGCGCTCCATCACCGCATGTGCGTGATGTGGTGGCGTGCGACGGCCCTGGCGCCGGATGTGGTCGGCGCGCCGCACCGGTCCCGCGCCATGTATGTGATGTGGTGGTGTGCGACGGCCCTGGCGCCGGAGTGTGGTCGGCGCGCCGCACCGGTCCCGCGCCATGTGCGTGATGTGGTGGTGTGCGACGGCCCTGGCGCCGGAGTGTGGTGGGCGCGCCGCACCGGTCCCGCGCCATGTGTGTGAATCGGCTCCGTGCTGCTCGCCGCGCCGTGGTGGGAGGTCGGCGCATTGTGCCCCTCCGACACCGCAGTGCGGTGTGGGTTCGGCGCGCCGGCACGCTTGGCGAGGCCCGGTGTGCTGCTCCCTCCCTCCCCCCCCCCCCCCCCCCTCAGCCGGTGGACGGCGGGCCGAGACGGCGCGCGCGGCGGGCGAGATGTGTGTTGTGCGCGGCCCGGCGCCGGGCTGCTGTCGCGTTCTCGGCTGAGCGTCGGGACGGAGCGCCGCTTGGGGGCTTAGCTGTGATGTGGGCCGCGACCCCGGCGCAGGGTCCGGCTGTTGGTTTGTGTGAGCTGTTGCGGCCGGGGCTCTTTCGGGGGCCGCCGCCGCTGGAGTGGGAATTTTTCGGGGGCGTGAGTGGGGAGGGCGGGTGGCGCTCGGAGGCTTGCCGCGAGTGGGCTTTCACGCTCGGACGGCGACAGGTGTGTCGTGTCATCCGCTGTGCAAGCCAAATGTAAGTCAAAAAAGAGGACGAAGGGATCGTCGTCGCAATGGCGTGCTTTCAGCTTGGATTTGATTTTTCGGCCTTGCTTAGCCTTGGCTTCTGCTTCTTCCCTTGTGGGTGACTGCTCTATGTGTTTTAGTCTTTGCGTTGTTTGGCTTTCGTGCAAGTGGACCTCCTGTTCATTTGTCTGCGTGTAAAAAAGTTTGTTCCTGATATGTATTCTCTTTGGTAAAGTCTTTACAACGCGACGTGGTTCAGAATAAAGCAAACTTTGAAGACATTCCCAGCATTTAAGAAACACGCTGAAGGGCGACATGGAGCTCCGCAGAACGCAGGGCGCTCGCCATGAAGACTCCACACCACTCCACAGACTACGCAGTATGAACATGGGCGGTGAACAGTTCTCAGAGAATGCAGCACCACCGACGGACGGAGCCTCGGACAGTCCTACGCGGAGTGCCAGCGGTGCCGGGCGCGGGGTCCGATGAAACCCTGCCTGTGTGGTTGTGATAACCTCGGCGCCGCAGCCGGCATTCGCGGCGCCCCGGCAGGCGGCACGTATGAACGCGGTCGGGTGGGTGCTCACGGGGCGTTGAGGCGCGCCGACTCGAGGAGGCTCAGAGAACCGGCGTTACAGTCGCCCAGAAAACTGACGTCACGGTCGCCCACAGAGCTGGCGTCACGGTCACCCGGAGAAGTGACGTCACAGTCGCCCAGAGAACGGGTGGATTCGCAGGAGCATTCATGCGCGACGTAATGCGACTATTACTAGAGGGAGTGCGTGGCTTCGACGCTTCAATAAAATCGTGAGGAGGAGCCTCAAAGCGCAGCCGGCGTGACAAGGCCAGCTGAACGAAAACACGGAAAACCGAGGGCGCGGCCACTCCACACAACGCAATCCATTGTCACGACGCATCAGGGAACCATCCAGACAAAGTAGGTGAGTGAGGAAATGTAGTCTAACTAGCAGTTACCACCATCGCAGGTCAAGCTGCAGCACACGTTGCCCGCTGCGGCGCCTCAGCAGGACCTGGCCTGAGAACACCAGCCGCGCGCTCGCCCGGCGTGAGCGGATTTCAGCGCTGGTGACGTCACGAGCTGAGGTGGGACACCGAACGTTGCCATGGCGACGGTACGCATAGTTGGCGACTATACCTCCTCGGCCTTGTTCGCGGTGTCGTTCTCTTGGTCCCTGCGGGCCGGGTTGGCCTCCGGAGGACGAGCTGAGGACAGAGGCGAATAAGAGTAAGGCCACGGGAGGTCACGTACAGCCCAGGCGCGGCTGGGACACGGAATTCATCACCCTTAACAACGCGTGATCTAGTCTTGGTTCCTCCGTCAGCACGGCGCATCACTTTGTGAAAGAGGCCGGCCACTACAGGAAAGTGACTGGCACCACACCATTCTCTAACCAATTTTCTTCCCTACCTCCCTACCGTTCTCTTTGCCATCCCCTTTTACGCTGAGGGAGCATCAATGTCAGCTGTGATACCATCTGTCACGGCAACACTCTCCGAGACAGTGCGCCAGCCGCCACCCCAGCTGGAACCCCCGGAGGCGTCGTGACGCGCCTCAGCTGAATGCGCCGCGCCGGCACCCCGCCGCCCGGCCCGTACTCACTGCGACACGACCCGGCGCGCAGGCTGATGTCGTCGAGCGCAAAGCCGAAGTCGGTGGCGCGGCCCTCGAACACGACGCGTACGCGGTCCGAAGCGTCCACCTGGACCTCGCCGTGGCGCCAGGTCACTGCCGGCTCGTCCGTCTGTTTGGCTGTCAGCGACCAGACTACCCGGTCGTCGTCGCCGCTCGGTTCCTGACCCTCGGCCGGCACCATCTGGCGCACCACGTTCAGCGTGGCCGTCGGCGCCCGCGAGAGCGCCGCGTACCAGAAGGCGACGCAGAGGAAGCGCTCATCACCGCGCGGTTCCAGCGCCGGGGATATTAGGCGCAACGTCAGCGGCTCGTTGTTGTTGTTGAACGCGTCGAAGTAGACGTAGCCCTGCATGGTGTTCAGGGTGTGGTCGTCAAGGTTGCTCGGCTTGCGGCCCAAGGTTGCCAGACGCCAGCGTTGCGTGCTGTCCTGGTCGGTGGTGGTGTTGCGCCAGCCGCACGCGTCCCGCGTGAAGTCGCAGTCGCTGGCCGACACGGTCGAGAAGGGCGGCTTTTGCGCGCACGCGCCATCCGTGAACGTAATGTCGTCCAGCGCGATGGCTCCCTTCGTGCTGCCGCCCCAGGTGCCCTCGAAAATGATCTGTCGGGAGGAGGAGGGACGGGACGTATAAGAACGTGGTCGCTGGTGCCGCTTATTGTTAAACCGCACGCCCTTTTGCTGCGCGTATGATGCACATGGCGTACTTTACCTAGTCAATGTGACTGCAACGTACCTACTTCGTGGTTTCACCAGTACTCCCGTAAGGCTGCAAGATCATGCGAGTCACGCCTAATGTCTGACAGTCACGCGAAACCTTCAACACAACACAAAGCAAACCAGCGCGTGCACCACACTCCTCGCGCTTCGGAAGCTCCCCTCCCCGCTCTCGCGCCGGCCGCACCGCCCCAACCCCACTGACCTTATGCTTCTCGCGCACATCGACGGTGGTCTGGCCGTACTTCCAGAGCACGTCCTGCGCGTTGCGGACCATCCAGAGCGGCGTGCGCATCAGCTCGTCGTCGCTGTTGGTGTACTCCACCAGCACGCGGATGGAGCCCACCTGCGGGCCCTTGCTGCTCGGGATGGTGGCGTCCATGTAGTACCTGCCGGCCAGCCAGGGCCCGGGTCACCGTCACGCTCGGCGGACGCGCGGCGGCGCAGCTGCGTGGTCCGGTGGCTCGGCCGTCCGCCAGGCAATCGCGTCACAAGGGATAGCTATGCTTTATTAGGAGTTAGCTGCAGCGCTGCAAAAGGAGCCAATGGAACATCCGACATGAGAACACTGGCAAGCTGCGAAATGTACGGCTGATGAAGGACAAGCCAACCCGGGAACCATCCAGACAAATAAGGGAGGGTGGCAGTCCAACCAGCCTGTTGCAACCAGCGCACGTCCACCCGTGCCGGGACGGAGCCAATGTGCGCTGAGAACATTGAACGACTGAGAACGTTGGTCATCGCCAAGGAAGGGTGTGCCGACCCAGGCGTAACCAACACAGCGTCGCCCCCCGACCATGGCCCCGCAGCGCACCTGAACGTGAGACAGCGCGCCTCTTCGCGGCCCTTCATGGCGGGCGAGACAAGCCAGGCGAAGTCGCCGGCGCGCTGCGGGGCGGCGTAGGGCAGCTGCAGCAGGTAGCCGCGCTCCGAGCGCATCGTGTGGTCCGTGCGGGGCACCTCCGCGTCACGGCCCGTGATCCGGCGCCAGTCGATCCGGTCGACGCCCTCCCGCCGGCCCGGGTTCGTCCAGCCGCACTCGTCAACCTGACGGCGGCGAGGGGAACTGAGCGGCTGGCCGTCCGGCAGTGTCCATCCGTCTGCCAGGACGCTCGGAGATCTGGCAGCCATACCGCGCTCCAACGCACAGTCGAGCGAGTCACTGCCGCCACGTCAGACAAGCAACAGCGACCGCCTCGCTCCTCGAGAGTCCGTGACCAACACCACCACCCCGCCAGACCGGCCGCTCGACACCCCCGAGGGTCTGACCTCGAACGTGCAGTCGCTGGAGTCGGGCGAGGCAGCCTGCGGCGCCGACGGGCACACCCCGGGCGTCAGCGAGACGTCGTCAACGGCGATATCACCCAGCCGCTCCAGCCCCACCTCGGCTTCGATCACGATCTGCCGGAGGACGAGGGGGAAGGGGGGGGGGGGGTGAGAGGACGCGTGGGTCGAGCCGACGGCCGTCAGACGGCGAGCTTCGGGGACAGCTGACCGGCGGGCTAGAGCTCGAGTGGGTCGGGGTGTTGCCGTGCCGTGATCACTGGCCGCGTCACGGTCAGTGGCGGGCATGAACGGACATTGCATTGATGCCGTTGATTGAGGTTTGAGGCCGCGACCCAATTTGCTGCGTGTAGCGGGAGACCCTGACGATTAGTAACCATCAGTCACAGGTGGGTTATCTGTACCAGGAATTAACCAGCAGAAGCATAAAACTCCTCCGCACCGGAAAACCTGCTGAGGATTTCGCACGTTCGCACGTAAAACAAAATAATTCGCCTGCTCCGATGACTTCAACAGGACGACACACACACACACACACACACACACACACACACACACACACACACACACACACACACACCACACACACACACACACACACACACACACCACACAACACACCACACACACACACACACACACACACACACACACACACACACACACACACACACTCACACACACACACACACCACACAACACACACACACACACACACACACACACACACACGTCATCCCATGGCAACCCTTACCGAGAACTGGTCGCTGGCGGTGACGGGCACCTGACCCTGGTACCACTGGTTTCCCGACGAGCCGGACAGCTTCCACAGCTCCTTTTCGTCGTTGCCGACCATCCTGAGTACGCGCAGCGTGCCCACGCCCGGGCCATGCATGTGGGTCCAAAAGCGGAAGCACATGGGGCCCGTCTGGGACGTGGCGGCCAGGCGGCGACTGATGAGGCGGGCCCTGTCGCCAGGCCCCCGCGGGTAGGCCGAGTCGATGAACACGTAGCCGCCGGCCGAGCCCCCGATCACGCTGCTGCCGTGGTCCTGCCGCCAGCGGGTCAGGGGGTCACAACCGGAAGGGCGAGGGCAGACAGCTGGCGACTGGACTGGGGGACGGGAAGACGGGAACGGAGCAGAACAAGGCGCGGCGATCAGGGGAGGACGGATGGAACGGGGCGTGACTTGTCGGGCGGGTCCGGGTGGGGAGGTGATAATGAGGTTAAAATGATACAGGAGGGTCTAGCTGCGGGAGGGGAGCAGAGAGGGAAGGGTAACAGCCACTGGCAGACGTGTCCGACAGGGCGGGACTTGACAGCTATGCACAACAGAAATTGCTGACCTTGGCTCCCGAATGAGGAAAAAAATTCTGACAAGCGCAGTGTCCACAGACATGCATTGAATAAAGCCACACACACACGACGATTAACCATACACGCCAGAATTAACTATGCATGCATCAACGCATCACATAACTAAGTCCGCATAACATCCACACGTTTTACATCCGGTCAGCTCGTCCTCACACGCCCGCGCCGCGGTCTCTGCGGCGCTGCTCTCACCCTCATGGGGCCCGTCTTGGGGTTAGTCGTGCCGCGGCCGCGGCTCCACTGGAAGTCGTCGTCCGTGTCCTGGCTCCAGCCGCAGAGATCGCCGTCGAACTTGCAGTGGCCGCCGCACTCGGTGCCCTCGGCCAGCTGGACCGAGTCGATGGCGATGTGGCCGCGGTATTCGCGCTCTTGCCCCTTCAGCGGGATCGCCTCGAACACGATCTGCGCCGACAGAGACGCGTCTCGGTGTCCGGACGTGGGCACGCTCGCCGGCTAGGCGTCAGGTGGACACACGCGGCGACAGGGGAAACGAAAATAATGCTGAGGTAGTCGGAAGTTCGTCCATCATTTGGATGGTCGAACGTTGCGTTGATGAACATGCGGTGATGTACTGGCTTGTGGACGAACATCAGCGGCGTAAGAACAAACGAGGGCAGAACGGCACAGTCACAAGATCATTAACGCACCCTGATGATCAGCCCTGCAAAACGACTCAACTGACGAGAGACGGGCAAGTGAGCAGACCACAACACGGCGCTCGGCCTGCCGGCCAGGCCGGCCCGGTACGCAGTCGACTGACGGTGTGGTCCATGCCGTAGGTGTAGAGCTGCTGGGCCGCCTTCCAGCTGCCGCCGCCCGAGTTGCTGCTGGACCAGATGACGATGTCGTCCCGGTGGTCAGCCGTCGTGCCGTCATCCTTCTCCTCCTCGCTGACAGGGTGCAGCAGCACGCGCAGACGGTCCACGCTCAGGCCCTTCATGCTGTGGTCAAACCTGGCAGCAGCAGCCAGCTGATGACAGGCTGCTGGTGGAAGGCGGCGGTCGGGGCACGTGCGCCGCTTTGAGCAGCGAACTGAACCGAACGGCTGGCGTTTGCCCTCCACAACGTCGGTACATGACAGACCACATGGATGCTCAACTGTGGGACGCATCACCTAGGAGGCGAGACAGAATGATTAAGTCTCAAATGAGTGTTATACGGAGCAAGAACAAACGTGTAACTATTCTGGGCACACAAATGTAATAACGACCAGCTGATAACACATCACTCACACGGCATTAGTCAGCCCGAAACTGCCGACAGGAACAGTAAGGCCAGCGTTCCAATAGTATTGACCCCCCCCCCCCCCCGAGGTGATAACAGCTCACTTGAGGCATTTGCCGTTGGGCCCCGTGCTGCCCATCATGGGGCTCTCCAACATGGCCGACTCCGTGTTCGGTCCGTCCGGGTCAGTAGGCATTGACGACGTCTCGAAGAACGCGTAGCCGCCTGGAACAGACGGAAACCGTCCACCGCTGCAGGCGTGCACACTCGCATATTGGTGTCAGAATGGCACAGCGAATGCGATCACTGTCGTGCCGGTAACGGCAGACCAACTGATCTGAAAACAACGCAGTTATTATGACGGGGAGCGACCGCCAAGCGGCAGCGTTCGTCTATCTGATCACGAGCGGTGCATATAACCCCGCTGAATCGAACAAGGCAGGTGGCGACGAAAAATCAGCAGCTCTGTGATGGTGGCTCCGCTTCATCGTACCATCGACAGTTAATCGAACTACCCGCTAACCGAAATGGTGACCCCCTCCCCGGCATACCCTGCTCATCGGTTCTCCAGTTCGCGCATTCTTCGCACGATTGCTCCTCATGGTACTCTTCCCAAACCACGAGTCCTCAACGAATAGTCCTCCCAAACACCGAGTTCTCTCTAATGAATCTTGTCCATCAAGTTGCTCCCCCCAGTCATTCTGCCGGCTCCCCACGTTGTGCTCCTCAGCGTGCTCTCCCACCGATACTCTATCCCCTCCCACGCATCCTCCCCTCCGAATTTTCCTCGTCGAGTCCTCCTCGCCGTGTCCTCGCTCCTCACCGTCCTCAGCCTCGTCGGCGTCGGTGCGCGGGCCGCCCAGCCAGTTGCTGTTAACACCGGTCGACTCGCTCCACGTGAGGGCTGACATGTTGGGGTTGGAGTAGTCGCACAGCGTTGGCCGACCACTCGAGCCGAAACTGCAGTTAGGGTCACCTGCGGGCCGCCGGGCAGCGGGGTCAGAGCAGCAGAGTCAGGGGCAGTGGGGTCAGGGACAGCGGTCAGAGGCAGCGCGGTCAGGGCAGGAGAGTCAGGGGCAGCGGGTTCAGGGACAGCAGTCAGAGGCAGAGCGGTCAGGGCAGCAGAGTCAGGGGCAGCGGGGTCAGGTTCAGTGGTCAGAGGCAGCGCGGTCAGGGCAGCAGAGTCAGGGGCAGTGGGGTCAGGGACAGCGGTCAGAGGCAGCGCGGTCAGGGCAGCAGTGTCAGGGCCAGCGGGGTCAGGGGAAGTGGGATCGGGGGCAACGGCGTCATGGGCAGGGCAGCGGTCATTTTGAGGTTGGTGCGACGGGAAAGGTATGGATGGTCGTGGCAGAGAAGCTTCGTTCGGCAGTAAGCTCAAAACTGGACAGCTGCAGCTGACGGTTAAGACACAGCCAGCAGCTGCCCAGGAATACGCACGAATGTCACATGAGCTTCTAATGCCGACATTTGTTGGCGCTGCCATGTTGGTAACTCTGCCTGCTTCGTCATTGTTAACGTTATCACGGGCGTTGCTGTAATAAGCGGAGCTAAAAAAAACTAGGTAGTGCTGGACACCGAATTTTATCTCAAGTATAAAGTTTTGTAGGCTATTTTCTAGCTGAGCGACTTTTACTTTTTGTGACCAACACTGTTTTTTGTGACTGATGAATAATGGCATCACCAACAAAGCACGATTTGGGAGCGGGTCGCTGAAACCGTTGCGAAATACAATCGCCACAGTACAAGGCTTCGTGACGCCGGGCTCACCTTCATCTTTTGGATCTCCAGCGTCCGCCTGTCGCTCGGAGCGAATCTGCAGCATACAGAACACGTATTGATGACGAGGTCGAACGGCGGTCCGCAACTCGGGCGTGTTTACACCATTAGTCTGACCGGTTGGGTCACGGGAAAGGGGCGCCTGTTACGAGCGGCCGGGGACTCTTCAAACGTATATACAAATGCTGAATGCATTCCTAGTGTCAGATGACCTTGCAATGTTCGATTCCGTGTACGAATTAGTTATTTCTAGTCAAACAAGAGAAGTGATATATGGTGGCAAGCCAACAATGCAAACTCAAAACTCAAATTGATCAAGTTAAGGAGACTGGACGGTGGACCATTTGTATCGGCTCTCAATGAATGCAAGAATGGGCATATGCGTTCCGTACAGGTTCATTCAAGTGCATTGTTCTATCTAAAGCTGATCTGTGACGGATTCTACAGCCTCAAATCTGTTTCGATAGGGGTTCTGATCTCAAATCCTTTCCGACGCAGCTGCGAGTAATCACGAAACATCATGCAAGTACCTACATCCATTATCTCAGGTTTCAGAATGAACCGAGTTTCACACGTCCAGACAAACACTAATGCCGTTTCCAGATACATACACTGCGGTAGGTTACGCACACAATGAGAATGTCTCCACCTATTGCAAAACAAACCATCCAGCCTGCCTTCTGCTCGGCAGATTAGACCGCATACCAACATTTAGCCATGCTCAGGGTCGGGGCTCTCTCCAAACCCGGATGACGCAGCAAACCAGCATGACCAACAGCGGCATTCCCATCCAACGCTCACCATTCCCGAACGACCAATCACCACTGGAGCACCCATTGACGTGACCTGGCGTTTCCGGACCACCAGGGTCAGCAGGCAGCAGGCGAAACGCAGCCTCCCCCCTTCCGGACCACCAGGGTCTGCAGGCGGCAGGCGAGACGCAGCTACCCTCCCCCCTTCCGGACCACCAGGGTCTGCAGGCAGCAGGCGAAACGCAGCCTCCCGCTTCCGGACTACCAGGGTCTGCAGGCGGCAAGCGAGACGCAGCTCCCCCCCCCCCCCCTTCCGGACCACCAGGGTCTACAGGCGGCAGGCGAAACACGGCTTCCCCTGCGTACCAACTCAGTACCCCTCTAGCGCCCAACGCTGAGTCACCCTCCCGTCTGCGGTCTGAGCAGTTTGCTGCTGTCGGCGGGTCGTAGCCGAACCAGAAATGCAGTATTCATCGGCCCGGACAGCGGCGAGCACAGACGGCGGAAATGGGGGAGGAAGGGGGGAGGGGCGGCGGGAACAGGCGGTGACAGACCGCAGCACGCTAACGGCACGATGGCGTCGCCGTGCTCGAGGGACAGCGCGCCACGGCCGGAGGAAGTGGGCCGATAATGGCGCGTGACCTCCCGTGACCATAACGTGACCTCCAGCTCTGACCGCGCCACCGGGCGCGGTGCATCGCTCTCGGCCCGTCGTTATCGACCTTCGACGATCGCCCGCCGCCATAGCCTTCATTCCATGCATAGTTGATGGTGGACTGACCTAGATGGGTTGCCAGGGACGGACGGAGATTGTCATGGCGGCAGCCGATTAGCGTCATGGAAGCGCGCACCCGGGGCACCGGAGCCAATCATGTTATAATGCCGTGCCCGGTTTTGACTGGAATGGATCACCAGATAACGAACGGCTTTCATTTATACCGATTACTGGGTAACAACGAGGTGAAGGTCGCGATCCGGAGGTCTCGCGATGAATCCGGTCCGGAATCAGCTCCTGTACAAATTCGACAAAATGAGGTGCTGTTTATGCAAGCATGGTTGCAAGTCAGTGTCGAACAGCTTACTGTAACAGAAGCTCTCGATTACGGAGAAACACGAGACGCCGCGGCTTCAGTGAGGTCTAAATTTGCTTTACGATGAGAGACGCCACCAATATCCATGCTTCTCCGAGCTTCTCCATCTGCTGAAGCCTTCTGATTAACCTTTTGTTTTGTCCTTCGTTTTTTGTGAGTTCTTTTTCTACAGTGTCTTCTGATTGGCGTGTGGCATGCAAGCACCCATTGGCTTAGCCCGTACAGGGCCTGGTAATGGAGCCTTTGATAGTGACATGAATTTTTCATATTGACCACGAGCCAGCTCTGTCAGCTTCGTGTCCCCTGCCCCAGCATGAGGCTGAGAGTGCACCACCATTCTGACGTACAATACATAACGCTCTTCAATCAGCCCGGCCAGCAACATGCGCTTGATCGAGATTTCGCCGCTACGGATGGCGCACGTGTGTACCCCGACATAAAGCTTGCAACATTTGTCATCATTATTCTGCGATAACAACTGAAGCAAGTGCGTGTCGCAACAGCGTCAGCGGGACGGTAGCGGCGCCTTCGAGTCCGCAGCCCGAGCGCATTTTGGCCCGAATCAAGGCGATCAAACGCACAAACAGCATCGACCGACGCATAACGACGGCCTAGTAACGCTTCGAAAGCGGGCCGCAGAAAAACAAAGGAATTGTAAAGGACAGCGCACGGGCCCGAGCGACGCCTGCCTGACTCGCCGATCGAGATGGTAGTGCTCATCATTCAGGAACAGGGACGTCGATGGACACCGCCGGGATGAGTAACTACTTCGTGAGTTCGCCTGAATATCCGGAGCTCGAAGATTACATATACGTAAATTGATGTTTGCGTAAATTCAGCGCGAGGCAAAGAGCTGCGGCCTCGTCATTTCTCATTCTATTCCGATGGTCTGTTTCATTAGGTGTGTTTGACAAAAAGCAACGCGAACGTCGCAGAAAATGCCACAGCACACGTAGTTACTTGGAAATAATTCAATAGGGGCATGCAAACTTCCAATAGTCTGAAGTAGTGGTGCCTATGCACCGCTCTCGTAAACAGCTAAGTCCGCGGTGTGCGTGGCGTTATTTCGGGTCGATGCCGTCACCGGATCGATTGTGACGTCACCGACACGCCGCACGCGACACCTGGTGATGCGTCGCACCCTCCCCAGGGGAGTTTCCGGTACATTTTTCCGGTAGTGTCCGCCCTTCCCGTGAACCGGGGACCATCGGCCGTTTTTGCTGGGCGACGCCCCGCTCCGGGTGAGGGCGGAGCATCGGGGTCCCAAATGGACATGTCGACGCCACAACCAGTCTGACCTGGTCCCGACTTTGCGCAGCGAAGAGACGTGGACGCGAATCGGTGGCACGAAGTAATGCCACCGGCTCTTCCTCCCTCACTCACGCTTCAGCCTGCATCCCGCAGCGTCTGTATATCCGGGGCAAACTGCGTGCGCCAGGCATGAGTGGGCTGAAGACTCCCCTGTCTGAGTGCCCGCACAAAAACAGAAGAAATGTCTTGGCGCGGTCTAATTGTCGTCGAAGTACCCCCAGGTGAAGATAGTCTTGCCCCACCACTATCCATTCTCCTGCATTTCATGCTCCGAAAATGGTCAATAATGGTAGAAAAAGCTCCGATCCAGACCAGCCAAACGAGGCGTTGTGACACCATAACTGACATTCGTTGCGTTGAGCCACCTTACGGAGTTCTGTGTTTGTTAATCGCTGACAGCTTACCACTTATATACATAAAACGGCATCGCGTCTGTGAAGACAGTGGAACGTCGGAGCGGTGCTCAGGATCAGCACTGCTCAGTCCACTCACGCCGCATTTGAACGCGAGCGCCCGGATGATGAGTGAGTTGCGTGTGTGACGCGGGAGCCGCCACCCGTACGTGCAGCCGCTGACATCCGGTCGCGGGGTCATGGACAGCGCCGCCGGCAATGCTACGGTATTGTCTGGCGGGCGATCTCCTCCCGATAAACGCTCCGCGGCAAACGGAGCGCTGTTTGAAAACGCCATCACGCCGTGTAGCCGCCGGGACGGTCACGCACGGCACCGGTACGTGGCAGATACGAACGCCAAGCGCATACGAGTGGGCAGCGTGAGTCAGCGTTGGGCAGTGTTCGTGTGTCAGTGTTCATGCCGCACGATACTAACGCTGGCCTCTTCCCGCCGTTTTCCCGAGACTTATGGAGCCTGCTTTGCGAGCTGCAGACTGCAGGACGGGCAAGATGAGGCGTCATTGCATGGTAACGAGGAGAAAGCCACGCGTAGCATGTTGTCATCATGCAGATGTTTCTCATTCCACCTGTGTACTTCCTATAGACCAATAACATGCTCGACAGTACGCTGTCGAAATCTCTTCCACCCGGAAGAATAACAGCACACATGGCTCAGAGCATCGTGTAAGTGCCAATGAATCCGACTGCAGCCAACAGTATGCGGCTTCTTTTCAGAGTTTTCTTAAAGCACAAGGCGGCGCTTCAGAGCATTTCGTAGTTTTCCAAGCCTCCATCCCGCTAAGCTATAAGCACACAGTGACTGATACAGAAGGGAAGGGGGCATGGAGCCATGCCTGCCTCGGACGGAAGCTGCACACAAATATTGTGGTAAGGGCGCACCAAAATGCTCATTTCAGGTCAACATAAACTATATTTTTAAGACGCACTGATTTTCATGGTCACCACAGACGGCTCCAGCTATTCAAGTTCCACATAAAAGTTAAAAATTGACCTGTAGAAATAAAGTGGACAAAGCCAGGTGAACCCTCCCGTTGGAAGATATCTAACCGTTTAAGATATACGAATCTGAACATAAAATAGCCGAAATCCGGCGACTTCATTGTCAGGAAAGGGGGGGGGGGGCAACAAGCTCCAGGGGCCACCACAATGAAGCGTAGTCCCTCCCCAAACGAACTCTTGGATCCGCCTCTGTAAACATGCTACCACGCTCTGCCTGCTCAGCTGCGAACCCTGAACAACTGCGTCCCGCTTACAAGCCCGCTGACGCTGTAGCTGAAGCTGCGTGAGATACGGACGGCGTGCACTGGACTGTCTAGGTTACAGCGCAACTAGATGGGAAACTCAAGATCCTGAACACAGCTGAAGGAGTGGCGCAAGCTCACGAAGCCGAGCCTAAACTGAATGGGAAGCGCAAGATTCTGAACACAGCTGACGGAGTGGCGCAAGCCCACGAAGCTGAACCTAAACTGGAGCTCATCTACGTGCATAGGCAGACGGACCTGTCATCACCTGAACGTACCTGCACAGGCAGACGGACCTGTCATCACCTGACCATACCTGCACAGGCAGACGGACCTGTCATCACCTGACCGTTCCTGCACAGACAGGCGGATCTGTCATCACTTGACCATACCTGCACAGACAGGCGGATCTGTCATCGCCTGACCATACCTGCACAGGCAGACGGACCTGTCATCACCTGACCGTTCCTGCACAGGCAGACGGACCTGTCATCACCTGACCATACCTGCACAGGCAGACGGACCTGTCATCACCTGACCATACCTGCACAGGCAGACGGACCTGTCATCACCTGACCGTTCCTGCACGGGCAGACGGACCTGTCATCACCTGACCGTTCCTGCACAGGCAGACGGACCTGTCATCACCTGACCATACCTGCACAGGCAGACGGACCTGTCATCACCTGACCATACCTGCACAGGCAGACGGACCTGTCATCACCTGACCGTACCTGCACGGGCAGATGGGAGGAATCGACCGAGCTGAGCAGCTCGTCCAGGTCGATGTTCTCGTCGGTGGGCGCAGCCAGGACACATGACGTCACTAGCAGCACGCCCAGCAGGCGGGCCGCGCGCGGCAGGTGCATCTGGGGAGGGGACGGCGGACGTGGCATGGTCATAGGCTTGCGACGGCAGTGTGGCGCGCAGATGACGCGTCGTATGGTGGTTTCACGGCAGGTGGGGCCTTCAGTAGACAGCTGGTCATACAGTGGGCTGCGCCGTGGCCGTACGCCGTTGGATCGGTTAGTCACGGGTGAGCATGGGCGTAGGAACAGTGGGCCAGGGGAGCCATGGCCCCGCTACTTTTCATGGTGGATGGGCCAGCAATGTTAACTGCCCCCCCCCCCCACGCTTTTCAGATTAAGGTTGCATTTGGTTTAATTTTGGACTACATTTAACATGCATGCCGATTTACCTAGTTCACTAGCCATCTCCCGTAAGATGCGTCATATTTTTCGTTTGCTCATCGGCCATCGCTTAGTGTTACAGTCGCAAAGCCGGCGCCGCACGGTCTGGAGACTGCGACGCCGGTTGTCGGGGCTGGTATTACCGCGTGTTCTACACCATATTACGTAGTTTTCTTGTCAGTAATCAGATCTGACAGGATCTTGAGCATTTCAAGATGAACATGGGTTAGCCATTTTAATGCAAATTGGGAACCCCATTTCATCTACAATCTACAGCCAGGGAAAACTCAATATCCCTGAAGAACACAAAAAAAAACACGAAACTGGAGTCAATGTGACAACTATCGGACTATCTGCAGTGATCAAGGATGTTGTTGCGCCAATGAGGGTTCCTGCGTTGATCCGGGGCTAACTGCGCGGGTCAGAAGGTCTCCCGTGTCAGGAATGGGAACAATGTGATCTGATATATCCTTCCAATGGCCTCCGGATCGACCAGAAGATCCCACCCCGTGCAACCAGAATGATAGCCAGAGGACACTTCGCGATGGGACGGCATGGCCCTTCAGCCCTTGATCGGAAACGGTAATGTACCCCTAGTGTTCTACTCTTGGTCCCTTGCCCGGAAGGAAATAAGGGATTTCATTATTGTTGAGTAAGTGGGCGTCTCATTATTGTTGAATAGGGTAGGTCAAAATGAGCTTAAGAAACGAGCAAGGTCGTGCCATGTTTGCCTGAGAACGTTCATTTTTTCAGAATGTATTACTGAAACAAATTACATCAAAAGGCTTGAACATGCCCGCCCGCGGCCTCGAGAGCAAGGACAAGGTTGGCCTGGATTGCAACTTCCGGAAAACTGCAAAGTTTCGGCCACAGCAATTGCCACCAGACGGCGGGCGCCGTGTTAATCTGTCTTCCCGATAGATAAATAGCTGCAAAAACACGAAAAATAGAGATTTTTACCTTCACTCTTCCAGTTCAACCACCACATTCCAGCCTCACTTCGCGGTGCTTTAAGGACCAATCGGTTTTTTCATCAGTCTAAAAATTGCACACGTAAAATATGCGCTCAGACTGCCTTCTAAATGTAAGATCTGATGCCATGAAGCGTTCAATGATACTTTTTGCAGGAACGCCGTCATTTCCGCCCACCCGTTGGCCACGACTTAATATTAGCTGCTAGGCCGACGCTGCGCGCCCTACGGAGACTGCAACGCATGACGTCGAGACGTGTGTTTCTAAGATTTTCGAGCGCGCATGCTCAAAACTACGCCACATAACTTGTGTTGCTAGTCGATTAAAGTGTTTAAAGGTAATAACTGCAGAAGCGTCATCATTTTGGTCCAGCGATGGGCCACGGCTAAATATTATCTACTGGGCTAACGCTCCGCCGACTACGAGACTGCAACACCTGGTGTCGACGTTTTGTTACTAAGATTTGCGAACGCGCATGTTAAAAAACACATCACATAAATTATATCATCAATCGATTCTGACTTAATGGTGAACATTTTCAGACAAACATGGCTCGGCCATGTTAGTACACATTGTTGACCACTCGATCTGCAATCAAATTTTCATCTCCAAATATGAATCAAACATATCGATCTACAATCTACCTTCGCGTTGCCCTTTATGTCTGCAGAACCCAGATAAAAAATTGCTGACGAAGCTTCTGAATTCCATCTGTTTAGAAAGAGTCAATTAGCCATTGTAACTTAAGGGCGCCGGTGATTTCTTCTATGCAGTCGTTCAGCGCCTGATTTCTGCAGTCTATCGACCTCAAAATACAAACAATTGAGCTTACGGTAACTCCTGGTTTCTGTTCTGGTTACAAGGTAAAAATAACAATAAAACGAATAAAGCCGTGTCCCTTGTCAACAAGCACGCTATATCCGGGGATTTGGAGGGATATCACTATAAGATGGGCTTATGTCAACCCTGTGTTCCCCCTTGGCAGGGCTCTGGCTACGCCCCTGCCTACACACAAAAGCAAATCAAGCCGTATACGTTGCATGATGGGCGATGTGTGTGTCCGTTGTGTCCGCTGGGCCAATTCATACATGAGGCAGACAGCTTCCCGGAGGCTATTTTTCTGCGATGGTGTGGTGTTAGGGAAGATAATTCGGAAAAAGATACTGTTGGAGGTGTTCAACACGTATGTCATACACCATAAAATAGTAATGCTGGTCCAAAAGTGTGCAGCAAAGCGGCCATACGATCAGTTCGCAATCAGCCATGTGGGAGGCATCCGGGCCAGGACAGTGACCACCGACGGCGGACAGGAGCTGAGCCCAGATAAGGAACATATGACACGTGGGCCTTATTATGTGGTTGATTCTTAAAATATAATATCCAGCTTCATGGCTTTTGTCACATTGTTTCTAGCAGTTTCAGGCTCGCGAATTTGTTGCCGCCTAAAATGCTGCGACAAGTCTTATCTCTTTAAAAGCAGCCAACGAAATAAAGGCGCATGAAAAATCTGGCGCACTGTGAGACATCGATCCATCTTCAAAATTCTCACCAGCCTTTATCTAGGCCGTATTTTGGCATCTACACTGCAGAGGCAGATGCTTCCTTAATGACCCAGAATACCTACCCGCTCGTGGAATTTTATCTCCCCGTGAAAGACATTGTTAAAATGGACGAATAATCTTGGGAAGCTGGATAGTCTTATGTGCCGAATAACAGACGAGTCGAATAGGCAAGATTGTGCACCAGTAAGAAACAGCTCTAGATGCATATCTAGCATAGCAGCCATGGTATTTGAATAAAAAGCGACAACAACCTTCATCCCCCCCTCCCCCCCGGCCATCGGCCTCGCTTTCCAGAGAAAGTTCCTAAGGTACACCCTGAGTTTGGCCCCCACTTTTGAAACGTTCCTACGCCTATGCCGGTGAGCATACTGAGAAAAGTTGATGAGGCAACTGAGCGAGCGGACGGCTTCAGATGTGCAAATGATATAATGATGGTCAGTTAAAGGGAACTCGGCGCAGCGACTGCCGTACCCGTCATACCGCGACTTCCCTTCCGTGACTACGGCCCTCCGACCTGTAGCCATAACGTAGTGGTCGAGGCCCGGAGACCTCGACAGTCGAGAAATGTTACGGTAGCACCAGACGCCCGTGCAAGGCCGCGCGTGTGTTACGATCGCCAGAGGTGGAACAATTGTCGCAGGTTTCCTGTCCGAAAACTGAGCCTGACTTGTGCATGGATCTGTGGGGGGTAGACATCCTAAACTAGGATTTAGCGTGGCGTGGGAAAAATCGAGTGAGCACCGAACGCAGCCTTCTCCCATTACAATAATATTTATCAGCCACGGAATTTTCCTCACATATTGTCAAGTGATTCCCCACCTTCCTCGCCCTTCCTTTCACGCCCGCCTCCTCCTCCCCGATATGACCCGGAGCACAATCCGTGTGCCCCGTGGCTCAGCCAGTCACGGTCTGGTGGTCACGTGACTCAGCGCGGGATACTGCGGGTCGGGAGCGGAGGGTGGGGTGGGGGGGGGGGGGGGGGGGCGCTTCTGCCGCCGGCGTCGGGTGCGCCGGGCAGCGGGCGAAAAGTCCACCGCCGCGGGGCAGAGCCGGGCGACCAGCCGGCGGAGGACGGGCGGGATCTGTCAAGCTCCGGAGGTCAGGTGGACGGGATGGTGGAACCCGAGGTAGGCAGCCCGGAGAGGAAAAACGCAGAGCACGACTTAAAGAACGAATAAAATGAGACATTGACCTCGCAGTAAAGGAGGGAGATGGGCTCAAAGGGCAAAAGACGCCGATGTCGTTAGTCGATGCTACATTTCCGCCAGCTTTCCCCGATACCATTTCACATATCCCAAGGCACAATTCATCCCGACAACCAGCAAAGATGAAAGACCATGTCGTAAAACTGACCACTCACTTGGCTACCATCAGGGAACAGTGACTTGCACGTGCGGCTCGTGCTGCGTGTGCTGTGTCGCGCAGCTTTGTGTGCGCCAAGTCCAGTCCAGCCCCGGCCTGGACTGGCCTCGTTCGCTCGCCGCCGACGCGTCCCCCTCCCCCGCTCCCACCGGCAATCGACGCACAAATTAGCCCAGACGCAAACGCGACCGGCGACCGTTGTTAACCTGGAATGCGGCGTGGGCAGGGGGGGGGGGGGGGCTGAACATTGATCAGGGTGGTAAGCTAGCAGCCGGTGCCCGCCACGCCCGACAGTTCCGGGTATAGTCCTCCCTCCCCCCCCCCCCTCCCCTCCCAGCCGACAGGCTCGCAGGTGACGCGATGGGTGACGTCATCTTCTGGCTTGGACTACCGGAAACGGGATACGGAACGGTAACGGGAAGCGGACGGACGTCGCCGGAAAATGGGTGGACGATGGTGCGTTCTTATATGTGCAGTTGCTTTGCAACTGCGCAAATTTAAGTGATCGTACTTTGCATTTGGCGGAGACAGGAGAGCTGTATAATTCGTAATTAGCTGTTTTCTGTAGACTTAAAGTGGTCTGGATCGATGATCTGGGACATCACATGTAATCTGTAGATACCACCAACGGGCTAGCCAATCAAGGTTCAAATAGCGATGCATCGCGTGGTGTGCAAAACTGTCGATTTTCTGACATTTCCCTTGGTTGCACAGTAGCACACCTTAATTAGAATACTTTAATTTAAATACTAGACACTAATGAGAACAAACACGACCGGGCATGACGAATGTTTCCGGTTGCAATGCTGCACAAAACAGCATCACCGTCCTAATGAGGTGTCCACAACCATAACGGGATATCTACGAGCCTCCATGAAATGTAGGTATGCGACGCCAGCCACTCACTGAACGACGCGTTGGACTGCGCGGTGGCGACGGTAGTGCCGCATCGGTCTGTTACGCCGCCCAGAGAAAAAAGCATTGACGAGTGCATCAAAGTCAGCAACGTCAGAGCTCACCCCAGTAGACTACAGTCAGTACAGCCGGGTTCGCTCACTCGGGCGGATGCCATTACAGAACATCAAGGGAAATGGACTTGTAGGCGAGACAGCAAAAACCGACCCGCGCTGGTTCACGTAAAACTGGATCTCATCAAACAAAAATAGTTTTCCGGTTTAAGAAGTACCCAATTACAGCATACCCTCAAATATACATGACATTTCTTTTTTACTACGAGCTTTCAACCTACCAATGTGAAAGCCCTGCAAAGTTTCCACTTAAACGCGTCGAGAGACGAGGGCCTCATAATGCGCCTATCATTGTGGTATTATTTTAAGCCACAACGCTGCAACCAAAGACCAAGTGAAAATGCGGCAATATTTCGTCATTTGTTGGGGATGAGAAAGGCCTCGCAAATATTGCGAGTGAAAACAAATAGATGTTTTGTTTGGATTTGCTATGTCCTGCTTGTTCTAGGAACGATGCATTCTGCCGTAGGATCAGTTCTTTTAAAATGCGAACGCAGTTGTTCAGGTATATCACGTCTTAACATGTGTCACAAGCCGGCAGAAGTTAGCTTCTGTCCGTCCACCAGCACACAGGCATGCCAAAGTTCCCTGTTCTGGGTAGCTGGGACTCGGCAGTCAGAGGCAGAGGACGCTCGGAGCCCCACAGTTCCGCTAACCGTTGTGAAACTGGTTGTCGCGGTCTTTTCCTCGCGCCAGAGGGCATGCCCCGTAACCAGGAGTGAAACATTGCAAAGCTCGTTGGGGGGGGGAGGGGGGAGGGGGGGCAGGACAAAATTTTCCCAAAGCATAATGTTTTGATGTCATTTCAGTCATTGCTAGCCACTTCCCGATATTTCAACCCCACGCCGCGCGGCCAACACGAATCATTCAGGACGCCGAGGGCGAGGCCTCCCTCCAATGAGACACCAATCTCTAACTGTTGCGGGTCGGCCTCATCCCGTCACAGTGACGCCGCGGGCGCCACGCCGGCGCTGCGGCGGCGCGGCGCGGCGGTGCCCACAGACCGGAACCCGCGGACGCCAATGATGATGAACAGAGCCGGATCCGGCCGGCCCGCGCCCGGCCACGCCCGGGGTCCGCCCGCGTAATCAGGCTGCCGGACAGCCGGCGCGGTCCGCCTCTGGAGCTGGGCGCGCCGGGGCCGACCCGCGTAATCAGGCTGCCGTACAGCCGGCGCGGTCCGCCTCTGGAGCTGGGCGCGCCGGGGCCGACCCACGTAATCAGGCTGCCGGACAGCCGGCCCGGCTCGCCTCTGGAGCGGGGCACGCCAGGGCTGACCCGCGTAATCAGGCTGCCGGACAGCCGGTGCGGCTCGCCTCTGGAGCTGGGCACGCCAGGGCCGACCCGCGCGACACGGGCACTGCACGGCCACGTGGCTCAATGCGATCTAGCCTCAGGGTACGTTGCTGATGATAATACACCTCTAATACGATACTTTATGTCTTATAGAAATGCGCAGTTGAGACTTCTCGACATGACTGTTTTAGAATGGCTTTTACCAGTGTTCATTGGGTCGTACGTCGTGATAGCCACCGATGAACCATTTTAGAGTCCAATCTCACAGATGGGAATATTTTCAGTTCGGTGCACGCGCAGGAAGTTGCGACATCCTTCCTGGTTTGAATTGCACCTATCCTGTTACCGGTGAGCCGTCCTCTGCGCTGCAACATTCCGCACAGTTCTGAACTCAACAAGGCCGTTCGGTATGCCGGCGCCGGCGCAAAGATGAGAGGTCGACACTGCGGCGCAGTAGTCATCCCGTAGGGTAATGACGCGTCGAATTGAAGTCCTCGTTGCAACACTGGCAATGCTTCTGTGCTTTTGCATCCGTTTGGGTTTGAAACCTGGCTCGAGATATTGCAACTTCATTTTCGTAAAAAGAGTCATACGGATAGAAGTTGATTGTGGGTCCAACTAGTGTGTAACTTATAAACTTTGTTCATTGAAGCAGTCTATCGTCTACTTTGGCTATGATGCCATTCGCTGGGCTTCATCATAACACACGCAGAACAACGAACTGTTGTCGGGCCGTGGAAACCACGCTCGCCTTGATAAACTCCAATGCTAGGAGCAAAATGAGCATTTTCTGATCAAACTCATTTTTAAATAGTGCATAAAATCATTTGCTGATTTAAGTAACTTAGCATGACCTAACTCTGATTTTGAAGCAACCAAAATTAGCTTATTATTTGAATACGAGTGATTCGCATCACAACAGGGGAGAGCAGGGAGAGTTGCACAGTTTTTTTTACTATTAGGTGTCCCTGTACCCCCTATCACTAATAAGGATCGCACTATTTTTTTCTTAATATTTGCAGATAGCTAGAGCCCTCAGCTTCCTATGAAACGGTAAAGCTTCAAGAGCACGTGTTCATTTTATAGTACATGACGTCTGCATTATTTCTTTTGAAATGAAGCAACTTGCCCAACCCCGAGGTAAGCTATATCACATTGCGGGGAAAGTCACGCTGATCGTCTTTGTCATTGAGTAAGCTGCATCGCAAGCGAGCTGAATGGGTTACGACACATAAACGGAACGCGCACTCCTATGGTATTTCACAAACTATCGTGATTACATGACAAATCTTTGCCCTTTTTACAAATCAGTGCTTGTTTTACGACTACTGCCACCTCGGTTTTGGTTGCTCAGGTAGAAAATGCGGACCTAGATAGGCAATGTAAACATCAACTTATTGTCCGAATGACAGTAAGTCATGACAGTCGCAGCAATGAATCATTGACAGCAAGTCAGTCAATGATGTATTGTCGGCAAAATGCATCATTCACACAACATCTTCATGCATATCTGATACAGTATGTGCCGCCCGATATTTGGGAAGAAAGTTCGCGCCACCCGAAACCCTTGGCGAACAGACGCCGAATGTTTTGCAGTTTATGCGACACGCGTACTTCCCCACCATTCAGTACAGCATTCAGATTGGTTTAATGATGTCGTAAGTCCTCAAAAACATATTTGCACCGAACGCTTTAGTTTCCAACCACATGCAAACAAAATACGATATTCGCGATCATCGTAAGACGCGCGTACCTATGCGGCCGAAAGTACACTGAAATGTAAAAGAGGCTGCTAAGCATCAGCTGAGTTACTCAAGACTGTCACACATCGCATTGATTTGGAATCAAGGACCTTAATGCTACTTGGACATGATACAACTCATCCCACCACCTCCTGCATACTACCAATGCAAGAAAATATAAAATGCTGTAATGATTTCGGATCCTGGCAGTGCTTACTGAATGGACGAGCCCCTGCAACCTAAACATCTGCGAGTTATCTGCACTACAGTGCATTTAGTGACACAGTCTGGGGCTATGTTTATATACACGGAGGAAATATCTGTATTCTCCGGCACAGTAAAGTTTGCCCGTGAATTGTAAACTAATGGGATTGATGACTTTCGGCGCGGTAGATATATATGTGAAAGCTTCGGCTAACGCCCTTATTCAAATGCTTTGCACTTCCATGGTACATCTTGATTAGTTTTGCGTTCGTGTTTTAGGCCCCAGGCCTACTGGCACAAAATAAAATTGATTATCCATCAGTTGCAAAGTATTTTATTCTTCGTGTCGTTATGTATTTTTACGGGACTTTCCCACAGTCGTGCTTTAGTGAATCACTCGCAAGCTTATAACTTGGCCGCACATGTCAGCAAACATGTCAACAGGACGTATTGACGTTGACAGTGCTCGAAAGCAAGGTAGCATATGTTGCATCCTCATGCACCAGCGAGCTCGCGTCTGGCCAGGATAATGCATCCGCGTATAAAAATGATATGATACTATCGGTATGCTCGTTATTTCGCAAATCGTCAAAGTATTGTTATCGATAGTTCTATGTTTATTTTTACGCGCTTCCCGAAAATAATTGATTATTAAATTATTAATCATACGCAATAGTTGTGACACGGTACTGGCGTGTCACAACTATATACTCGTAATAATCTGATACCAAATATCGATAACGCACAAATGCACCCTGACGCATACGCATGCGCACACGTACCTGAGCGGCCTCTGGCGGTACCGGCGCGCTGCGCTGCACCAGCCACAGTCCGGCGTCGGTCGGGTCAGTCCAGCGGGCGTGCGCACCCTCCAGCGGCGAGGTCCCGGTGGCAATTGGCCCGCGGCCCGCCGGACCGTTTGTTACGCGGGGCCGTAACCATGGTAACGGCCCTGGCGTGCCGCCGTGTGCAAACGCACCTATACCGGACAACGAGCTGTCGTCGATGCGTGCGCGGGCTGCGTTTGTTGTTTGTCGGGGTCATCGGAATCGCCGGTATCAGCCGCAGGCGGCAGCGATGTGGCGCGTCAGAATGATTCACCAAACAATGAAGTGTGTTCGTCTGACGGACGAAGCATACACACCTGCCCTACGCAATCACAGCCAACTATTCAGCAGTTCATGCGCATGGTTCTGATGAATGCTGGCCAGTAATGCTCTTGATAGCTGACAGCAGGGCGAGTTCTTTCGCCACGGGACAGAAATTAGGGAGGGAAACATGAGCGTTGCTGGAGTTTTTTTTCCTGCATCACCGCAGGCGTAGCGTTTAATTTTGCGAGAACTTCGAGGAGACTTATTCTCCTACATTGGAGCTCCACCGACCGGAGCATTGAATGGCTGAAACACTAATGCGTCGTATGTCCCTATGTAGGGTGTCGCAGCAGAATGCTTATGGCTTCGTTGAAAGGTTGCATGAAACCTAGAACTTCCTACAACCAAAGGCAGACCCATATTTAGACCGTTCCCACCCAGCCGAAAACAGCAGAAACCTTAGGAGTGCGCACAGCGGACAGCGCCACGGACAGACGATCGTTGATCAGAAGACAAGGTATGCAACAGATAATTAGTGGGTGACTTTCGGGTAATTTTCCAGACACCTGAGTCATAAACCATCGACTGCCTTTTGTGCAATCTGCGAAGTGTGACCATGCGCCATTAGAGGAAAGTTATGGCAGAAGTGAACCTAGCATGACAACGGACATCCTTTACAGCATCGCAGAGCCAGCGTGCACACCGAGAACTTAAATAAATGGGTTGGCTCGAGTGGTACATCGAACACCATCAGTTTCCCACCCACAAGTCTGTCTAATACATTGAAGCACAATATGCGTAGCACTCATTTTAGCTCAGGGAAGATAAAGCGCAACGATGCATCACCTAGCCTTCTAAAGCATAACACTAAGCGAAACACAGCTGGCCCGTGACTTGCTGGAAAGAGCGTTTTACCTTATCTGATTTTTTAGACACACGAAGTGCGAGAGACAGAGAGAAAAGAGAAGAGAGAGAGGAGAGAGAAGAGAGAGAGAGAGAGAGAGAGAGAGAGAGAGAAGAGAGAGAGAGAGAGAGGAGAAGAGAGGAGAGAGAGAGATAGAGGAGAAGAGAGAGAGAGAGAGAGAGAGAGAGAGAGAAGAGAGAGAGAGAGAGAGAGAGAGAGAGAGAGAGAGAGAGAAGAGAGAAGAGCGAGAGAGAGAGAGAGAGATCAGAGTGAGAGATAGAAATGTAACTATGGAACTGTGCCTCTTTTAGGAAAGTTGGCGTAGCTCACAGGCGGATCCAGGAGTTCGTCAAGGGGGAAGGTATGCAACCTGGCGGACCCCGTTGGATTTGGGGGCGTCCAACAAAAATAATCGCATTACGGCCGGTAGATTCCAAGGTTCTTCGCATTCCTTCTAAACGGGAATCCATCTTACTCTGCGTATCCCTAGAAAACTAGGCACGGTACGTATGCACATGCATTTAGCTTATCCCTTTTCTCCAGATCATGGTGAATCCTGCCATTTTGAGGCTAAGTTTTCCGGAATAAATGGCAAAATGATTCGAAGTTGGCAGCTAAAAGCTACGAAAATCAGGCATGGACATGATTCCTAGCTTATTTGAGGCTAGCCGGCTGATCGATGTGATCATTTAATGGCTGATGACTAAAGTAGCGGGGTTACGTTTTCTTTTAAGCAGGAGTGCAAAATACGGCGTTCGGATATATCAAAAACGTGGTGCGCAAGTATATTACGTGTCATAAATCCAACAACCAACGAAAACGACATAAAATAACGTCGGCGGCACGTAAAATCATATTCGACAATTTTGCGTAGAAATTCATTGACGGAGATCCAACTGCCGCACTAAGACTAATGCGCCAAGGGCAACATGGTGGTGAACGCCTTAACGATCGGGAGTGTCCAAGTGGTCTAACATACAGAACCTCGGCTCTCTGAGCAAAGGGAGGTTATCCAAGGTCAGTGTATATGAATTAACGACCCTTTGCTGTCAAGAGGCAGCGTAAGGGCGGTATAAGGACAGGGTAGTGTACCCAGGCGGTTTAACAGACAGGGCTCCGCTAGGAGTGCAGGGTATTCCGTAAATGAAATTAAAGGGAAAGAGCCCTGGATCATTGCAGAAGATCCTGAGTATCGAGTGGATCGGTGCCGCACCTTACATGGCCCCATCACCAGCTCAATGTCCTCCGAGGAAGTGGAAAGAACACGAGAAAGATCATAGTGGTTTGGAATAACCCAACGGCCGTGGTGCACTGCTGTCGCCGGCTGCCGGGAGCGGGCTCCAGTTTGCGGAGGCTCCAGTGACCTGGCTACCGTGACATCTGTCGTTGCGCCGACAGCTGGCGTATCTGTTTCGGTGAGTCATTTCCCCGCAAGGGTCATGGATTATGATCTGCACTGGCCGTAGCAGATCGCTGTCATTCTGTCGAATGTCGGTGTATTTTCATTGGGCACAGTTGCTGATGCAGTTGTCATTGGAATTTCTGCTTTGGCACTCGAAGCAATTTTCGTTTCTTTCATTGCAGCTTTCCTGAATTTGATATTATTCTCAATATTTTTGTTTTACGCATCGCATTGTTAAAAGTTGTTCAGTTATGTTATTTATGTGGAGGTACAGCGTTTGCGTTCTGGCGGTAATAAGGTCGTAGGCCACAACTGACGTGACTCTGGTGTCATATTCGTCTTTAAATAGCGTGATGAAGCCAAACTGTCGCGAGCCGTCGTCGCCTGCCATTGTAGGGAAGGCTGGTCAAGAGGGTTGCTGTCCGTGACATCGCGACACATACAACCACACAAACACGCACAATCACACGCGGGCGGACAAACACGCATGTCCCATACACCTGAGACAGCGCCTGCATATTTACAAATGTGTTGTCCCACCGATTTTTATGCAGCTGATTTGGGGGAGTCGAAATGACCAGATTCAACGTTATTTCCATGAACGTCAGAGGCTTGGCAGGCCAATTCAAGCACTGAGACGCTGAGAAAGATAAAATACTCTTTTTCGATGCTCTCTGGAAAGGCAGGTCGTATCATCCATGATGCACGAACAACAGTAGAGAAACACCTATTCTCAAGCAAACAAATCTTCAGCATGACGTATTTTTTCAGTTTCAGTGCGTGACAGAGACAATTCTGTCATCTTAGGATGCAAAATTGGCATCGATGCATGCGCGCCTGTGTGCATCCATGGGCCAAATAGGGATGAATCACAATTTCTGAGCACAGCAGATTGGAGCACGCGATCATAAACGAATGAGACCAAAAAGACCCCCGATTTCGTTTCCGTTTCCAAAGATTCGATCAATCGTTTCCAAAGCGGAATAAACGAACACTAGGAAGAGAAACGGGTAAAGGACGTAACACGTTTTGAGGAGAGTAGCATAACAGAGGTCACACATGCCACACATTCGACACGCATACAAAATTCGCTATAAATTCACCAATCACGTCTTTACAAAGAACAGATATTTTACATAATTAAGGTAAAAGAGCTGGGCTACAGGATAATAATTGCACTTTCTGTAAAGAAGAGCCTGCAACACTCTGCCATATTTATTGGAGGTGCCCTAGAGCTCTAGTCTGCATACAAAACATCAAGACTGAGGTCCTAATGCGGTATCAAAATGGCTTTGGAAAATATGCCAACACCTGGTTGTTCCTGACTGACCTAGAACCAATAAAAGCCCCTGTAGTATAATTAGAAAAGGTGATCATTCAAGAGCCACGTTATGTAGAAACGTAGCCTGCGGTTACTGGCTTGAAAAACAAACTGAAACGCAGCCTACGGTTACTGACTTGAAAAACAAACTGAAACGTGAGGCGGAAATCGAATATCGTGCTGCAAGGCCAGGTAATAAACAAGACCGATATGAAAAGAAATGGGGACAGCTGAAAACGTTCGCGTGGTGGCAGAAGAGCAAACAGTCAAGCCCCAGTCACAGATATTGACACAACGAGAACCGTTCACCACTGCATGATATGTGCACGCTCTCACCTACACCCACTCCCACACACAAATGCGCCAACGAATGTTCACGTTCACGTGCTTTTTCTGTCTCTCACTTTCACAAGCACGCTCACGCTTACTTCTATAAACACATACTCTAGCCTCGGTGGATTGGGTGCGGCCTGTTGCCAACCCAGTGCGCACCGCGTCGATCCCGACACGGGGGCCGGTGCTGATCCTTGCAGGTGCCTGTTCAGCCCACGTCATGTGTGCTCGCTGCGCATGCGTACCGTTTAGGAATTGTTGATGTGATTGCACTACGCGTATTAAAACAAAGCAAAACAAAAATGAGGAACGAATCCGAGGGAAAAGGGCCGCTGGGAAACTGAGTGCATCCCAGCATACTGGGCCCGGCAAAAGCGAACGGGGCCTGTCGACCGAATGGGAAGAACCCATGGAAGGCCCCTGATCGATCAAGAGTGCCCAGGACTGTTAGCAGATAGTAACCCAACAGCAGTGTAGGACCCTACAAGAAAATGCCAAGAGCGATCGCATTGATTCGGCAAGTGGACATGTAGGGCCTCGGCAACAGCGTAACGCCTGTGGACAGCGTGATGAGCCCCGAAATTGCCCCAAACACCACCCTCCCATCAGCGAAGAATTAACGCTGTCTGCTCACAGGCTCTTCACTTTCGCTTGCGATGTTCATCGTCGTTTGGAGGCTGATAGACCACTAATTTTGTTGTAATTTGTTACAGAAAACTGCACCCGTTCGGCCGGTTATGAGCCCCTCCGGAACCTATGGGTCCACTTGGGGCCGGGAGGGGGGGGGGGGGGTACATTGTCCCGTGCCTCTCTGGATCCGTCACTGGCCCG